TAGGGACATGGGTGGGCAAGCACCATCACATTCTTTTGAAAAATTTCTACATTGTTTTGTCATAGGCAATACCTAGTTACACACGTATGTATGTATGTATGTATGTATGTATGTATGTATGTATGTATTTTTGAGACGGGGTTCCTCTGTAGCTTTGGCGGTTGTCCTGGAACTTGCTCTGTAGACCAGGCTGGCCTCCAACTCACAGAGATCCGCCTGCCTCTGCCTCCCAAGTGCTGGGATTAAAGGCATGCACCACCACATAATCAGCTGACTCGGGCTGGGGAGAGATAACTGACTCCACACTGCCAACTGGGGAACCAGCATAGGACTGAACTAGGACCCCCTGAATCCAGGAGACAATGGTGTAGCTTGGGCTGTATATGAGGCCACTGACAGTGGGACCAAGATCTAACTATAATGCACAAACTGACTTAGCGGAGCCCATTCTCTATGGAAAGAAACCTTGCTCAGTCTAGACATGGGCTGGCGATGGGGGGAGGTGATGCCCGGCCTCTTTGGTCCTGCCTTAGCAAGGCAAGGGGACAGACTTAGAAGGAGGCCTTACCTTCTCTAAGGAGTGAATGGGAGGTGACTTGGGGAGAAGGAGGAGAGGAGGGAGGGGGAACTGGGATTGGAATGTAAAAAATAAAAAATAAATCTAAAAATTTTACTTGAATTATAACTAAATTATTCATCAGAAACATGAATAAATAATTGTGTAACATTCAATGTTGTTGTGCTGATTCACTTGTTACCAGGAGTTTAATGAAAAAAATTAATTTTATGTGTATAAGTGCTTCGCCTGAATGTAAGTGTACCATGTTCATGCCTGGTATCCAGGAAGGTCAGAAGAGGTTGTTGGATCCCCTGAACTGGAGTTAGTATGGTGGTGAGCCACCATATGGGTGCCGGGAGCCGAACCCAGGTATCTTCTGCAAGAGGAATAAGTGCTCTTAGTTGCTTAGCCAAATCTCCAGCCAAGAACTTTTCATTATTCTCAATTAACTAATTAATTAATTAATTAATTAATTTTGGTTTCTTGAGACAGGGCTCCTCTGTGTATCCCTGGCTGTCCTGGAACCCGCTGTGTAGACCAGGCTGGCCTTGAACTCAGAGATCCACCTGCCTCTGCTTCCCGAGTGCTGGGATTAATGGTGTGCGCCTCCCACTGCCCGGCATCCTCAACTTTGTTTTTACTTGCACAGAATATAAGGTTAAACAGAGTACCAGGATCCCAAAATGTTTCTGTGGGAACATTTCAAACAGAACAGTTGAGACAACAGCAAAAGGAGCTTTGGCTGGCCTGGAACTCTCCACATAGGGCAGGCTGGTCTTGAACTCACAGAGATCCTCCTGCCTCTGCCCGCACGCGGAGTGCTGGCATGAATGGTGTGCGCCACCATGCTCGGCTCTTCATAAACTTGACAACCAAGCTCTGGAGACCTTCCACCTCAGGTCTAAGCAACGGGCTACTGACCTAAGATTGGGGCCCACGACAGCCCAGCGCTGGGGACTCCCTGTGGGGTCGGCGTCCTTTGCTTGGGGCACTCGGCTGGCAGAATGACAGCCGGGCTAGGCTCAGTGTGCGCGTG